CACACCAAATAATAAGTAACCTTATCTCTCAAGCACTGTTTTACCATCATTTCATACTTTACAATAAATAACCTTATCTCTTGAGCACTGTTTTAACTGTATTTCACACCTAATAGTAATTAAGATTATTTAATGTGATTCCTGAAATGATTATTGTCTTATTATTTCAGTAATTTTTTCAAGTTAATTTTGCATAAACTTGAAGGATCAACACCAGATACTTGTATAAAAAAACACCAATATGTGTATGTGAGTTAGAACAGAAAGCAATTGGTCAACTGTTCATTTCTACATAAGATACACATTAAACCTAAAACTTAACAAGTAACAAAGTATTCAAAGACATTTTTAACCATACAAAAAGTTTTGCATGCAATTCTCATAAAATTTATAAGTGTCACTTATATGTATGGGTTTGTAAAACTTATGAATTTTCCTACAGTAACATCATTAGATGTGTACATGTGGTAACTTTAATTTTTATAGTTTTAATCAAAGAAATCATAGGCTTCAGCCTCAATTTCTAGCTCTGGAGTTATTAAATGGACCAACTAGCCTTGGTAATGCATTAATTTAGCTAGTGTGGTTTGTTAAGCTAAATTAATATTATTTTCTGACTTTAGCAAAAATTTTTCTTATATTTAAAACATGTTCCATGATATCTCCACATTTTCAAGGAAACTGAAAGAACTAATAAAAGAGCATTAGATTTTACACATATGACTTTGTTGCTTCTGTCCACTAATGAAATGAATAGTGAAAATCTGAAATACCTGACTAATGAGATAAATGCTGAATTTTAACATGAAGAGAGATTTAGTTTTTTGAATATTTGTTCAAGTTTTCAATATGTATCAAAAAATATTTTTTAATTCTTTAAACCCATAATTTTTTGCATGTTTTGCCAGAATTAATTTCATGATTTCCTAATAATTGTCACCATACCTTATAACAGGCCTTGACAAATTCCAGGCGCTAAGTCGCCATTGCAACTAAACATTTCATCTTGGTACCCAGTATTTTCTCCAAATTCATTGAACAGTTCTGGTCTCTTAGAACTCAGGAACTATTTTTGCATTCTTTGAGCCCAAAGTCGAACTTCGTTTCTAAGATTTTAATGATGGATTCAGCATTTCATGTTTTTTCAACAATGAAGTGCTGTGGTTGCATAACACATTACTAATTCCATGTCATTTTATTTTTCTTCTTTCTCTCAGTTCAACCAAATGGTGCATATGTTTAGACTAAGATGAGGCCAAAGGTAGTTAATTCAGGCAATACTATCAAGTGGTTGTTGATATCATTTGATCATTAACATGCACTCTTTGCTATGAAAGTAAATAAATATAGCCCCACTTCCCGTACAAACAGTATTGAAGTTAGTGACACCAAAAAGCCATTGCTTATCACTGTACAATGTTGTAGTTATGAGTATATTAGACCTATTCTGAAACAACCTGCCAGGCCTATCAATATCGCAGTGATTATTTTTATTTTACTTTCATTCATTGCAAGAATCCACCTAAGTTAAAGTTATTTAGTTTACTGTTTTAATAATTGCATATATTGAAGTTTATCTTTAATATATGTTATATAGTAAAGTTTAATAATGAACCCTTTGTTTTTTATTGTAAAAATGTATGTTTCATACCATAACCACACAACCGACTCAAAGTATATTCCATAATTTTTTTGTGTTGAACCCGGCTCTTAGATCTGAAAATATTTGTTTATGCCTGCCTTATAAAACGTCAATTTCCCTAATTTTGGATAATAACATGGCTTGGATTAGTTTTCAGCCAAACAAAAGACATAAATGTTTCAGATGCTGTCACTGTTCGAAGAATAAATCGAGATTTTTGGCCAGACGCTGCAGTGTACCCGATGATGACAAAACCTTGTCGAAACATTGTACATTTGCTGTTATGTTAAACTTATATTAAAGTTTTTCTTCATTACCCATTCAAGCCATCTCCAACCATTATTAGTCTCAAAGTGGGTTCCTCGTCATCAAATGAGTTACTCAGTTGTGCACTTATGGGTTGATTCTACAAAAAGTTATTAGCTTTCCACTACTTGGTAGTGTCCTTAGAAGTATACAGTTATGTGACCAGGAACATAAAGCAAATAGAATCTTCAATGACAATCAATACAACAGGAGCAATTATCCAAAGACTTCTTAGACTGTCCAGTAACAGTCAATACACAACAGTAACAGGTTTTTTCAATTCTTCTAGAAGACAGCATTAGAATACTCTTCCACCTCTATTCAAAGTCAGGTTAACAAGTATCACCTGAACTTACACTTTTTTCTTTAAACTTATCCCCTACAATCTTTAAAGCTGGGGTATCAGTGATTTATGGATCCCACTGCTGCCAACAAATGTAACAAAGTTCTTCCAAGTCATTTTCTTTTTTCTTATTCAAGGTATTTTTTGTTTTGTTTCTGCACTGTGTTCTTGTACAAGTGATTACTTCCAACAGTAGTATAAACTCAAGCAGAACAAGGATAAAATCCATTTATTTAGAAATCACACAGTATGTACAAGCAGACGAGAATGGGTCAAACTACAACTGACCATCAAGTTTCAGTCCTTATATATGATCTAGTAGGATTCTGCCCCCTAGATCTTGTGATATATATATATATATACACTGTTCAAGTTAAATTTCACCATTATGAGTCAGAGCTTGTGCTTTAATTAATTTAAAAGTATATAACTAATGAGATTGAATCTTCCATCATTATTTGAAGTAAAATAAGGAGTTGTGTGTCTGTGACTTCTATTCCTATGGATACATTGGTTTCTTCTATGGAAGTGTTTCTTTAACCATTATATAACACATGAAGTATGTAAAAATTAACTGCTTTTACATTATGACCAGATTACACTGAGTCATTAAATCAAGCAACCTTACGGGTGTGGTTTACATGGTGAGGTTTCGCTGATGTAACTGTAAACTACTTTATGTGAATTAATAGTTTTACCCATAGGAACATTTACTGTTTAGTGGCTTTGTACTTATTTTGTGATGATGTTAGGCAGTGAAGCCAGTCATAGAGACATTAACTCTCACAAAGGTATTGGTGATAATAGAGTGTCAGTTTATCAAAAGCTGAGCAGGATTTATAAGAGGTTGTAGTCTTTTTCAGAGCAGCTAGTTTTTATCAAAATACTTCCAAATATATCTTGAGTTTGTTCCACTTAAAATTCTCTACACACGTTTTTTAGGTCCAGCATGTGCCTGAAGTAAGACAGACCTTACCAGTGGTGGTGTTTAGTAAAAGTAGATTATACAAGACTACTACACTTTAGCTTTGCATCCATGCTTGCTGTGTTTCCATTGAGGTGGAAAATTAATGAGGAACACTTCAGTTCTGTATGATGTAAGCTGTATTTTAAGTATGCAAAATAAAATATGTATTATAAACTTGATTTTCTTGTCTTTGAAGTTTTTAAGGTGAACATTTCATAAGAGTAACAGTAAGTTACCTGACATCATATATTAAAACAGTATTATAATAACTTTATATTGGTATGAGGATTTTCTGTTTTTGAATAAATCAGAGTAAACAAATATACCATTAGAGAGTTAATACATATGTCTCTGCAGTATAGCTGACATTCTACATTTATTAGAAGGATAAATATCCACAAATGTTTGAACCATGCTCAGATCATCTCTCACTCAAATGTTGTGTAGCTGTAGAAAAAATAATTATACAGAACCTTGAATACCACATTTAATTTGCCTTTCACTCTCAGGACCCAAGTAATTTGAACATGTAATTAAACTTTTGGAACTGTTAATAATATTTTGAATCTCATCAACCTGAACCACATTGGTGAAAGTAGCAAAAACAATGACATTTATAGTTTTGTAGCAGTTGAAAACTGATAGATTTTAAACTGTATAATTGAAATAATGAATGTATTTGTATTAGTAAATTTTAATGTCAATTAACTTTAATGTCATCTGGTGTTAGGTTAAGGTAAGAAATTTTAGAGAATTGGAAAACTTGGAATTGAAATGTATTCAAAGTGCAGTAAGATCTTGTTCCAAACTCCAGATAAGTTAAATCAATCAATATTTCTTGTATTTCCAGCAGAAAAGGTGGTAAGAATATTTACTTTTATAACACCGCAAGTTGTCAATAAATATTTGTGAGTATTTTGTATAAGTTGTATTGGTTTCTTCCTTTACATTTGAGCTGAACCACAGCAGAACCTAAACTTTTCACAGTACTTAACATTTACCTGTTGGTCAAATACCTCTTGGAAAAACCACAGCTTCAGGCAAAACTTGAAATTCCAGACTTGTGTCTCCATAATAGATACAAGTTAAATGATCAACACTTCTGGGCCTAATCATTGGTCAGTCACTCCAGTATGTAAAAGTATGATGATGGAGAAATGCCCTAGAATTCCTTAACATACACCTTAGCAAGCAAGAATTAGGTCATCAAGAAATTAATGGAACACTCTCACTAACCACCCCCGAAAAAACCTACATCACATATAATAGCAAAACGAATTGCCGAAACATCACGTTAGTGTAGCCTATATAATGTTTAAATTTAGTATACTCTTATTCTGATAGCACACGATGAGACACACATTCGGCATGTAATGCTGTTTGAATACAAGAAGGGAAACAATGCCTCTATAGCCACAAAGAATATCAAAGAAGTTTATGGAAATGTTTTGAACGTTCGTAAGTGTCAACGATGGTTCAGCAAATTTCGTTCAGGTAACTTTAGCCTTAAAAAACTGTGATGGCAGGGCCGACGTATTGGAATTGATATTGATGCTCGGAAGACCCTTGTTGAGTTTAACCCAAGGAAACACACTTGTAAAATGGCCCTGAAATTGCATGTCTCTCATAAAACAATAAGTAAACATCTAAGGAATATGGGAAAACTCCATAAAGAAGGTGCTTGGATGCCTTATGAATTCTCTGATGATCATCATTTCCAACATGTGAACATTGCTTCGTCTCTTCTGGCACGTGAAACATTTTTAGACAGAATTGTCACCCGTGATGAAAAGTGGATTCTCTATGCGAATATTAAATGCCAAAAACAAGGGCTCAGTCCTAGACAAAAACCACTTACGACCCAAAAACCTGGACTCCATTCACAGTAAGTAATGCTTTGCATTTGGTGGGACATATATAAGAGACAAAATTAAAGAAAAGCATCACAGATTTAAGAAATTTAAATTGACTATTGTGATGGGAGATTTAGAAGATCAAGAAAATGTGTGAAACAGGAAATTAGGACATCAAAATGGATGTATGAGAAAAGGTTGGCTGAAAATGGAAAAATTAACAGTAAGGATTTCTTTAAATACATCAAGAGTAAATGAAGTGTTGGGATGGGATAAGACCCTTTTTCAACACCTGTTTGTGATTACATTCTCACATGCCATGTATCACCTTTACCTGAAGGTTTATTTTTTGTTGCTGCTGACTTACAGACATCGCCAGTCCGAGTGTTTTATGCTGTTTCTCCACAGACTGCTTTATCATTATACCTACATCCTCAGACCAGTTCTTCTTACACAAGACACTGTCAGACAGGGAAGGGGATAAATCCTTTTCACTGATTCATCTGATTACTATTTCTCACTTCTATGACCTATGAGATTTTGATCATTGTCATGTTCAGTGAGGGTCTTGAAGGTATTGTTGCCCGCACTCATGCTTTCAGAGATGCTAGAAAATGACTTTTTATTCTGGCTCTCTTTGAAGGCAAGGAATCTTCTGTGAGTCCTTACCTCATTTTTGCAGGATCCAACTCTGTGGCGAGTGTTGCCCAAGCAAGTGAGCTTTTATCAAACCAGTTCTGCACTGGCTATCACTAATTCAATATACTTTATCTAAGTTGCATCAGGCTCTATATAAATGAGGTGTTTTATATAACCACCTAGAAGCTGACTGGGTGGTATTACTGTACTATGCTGAACTGCCACTCATGGACTATCATGAGGAAAGCATAAGGGAATCCTAACCATTACTGTTTATCATTGGATTGAATAAATCAGGGTTTGTTTGCTTTTAAAAATTTAGGGAACTTGGTTCAGCTATTGCACTGTTCCTCAGGGTTACCCAACATGCATTACTCCCTAGATTGTACAAATGGAGCTAGGGAGTCCTCACCACACCCAGTTTTCAGTCACTGGGGTAGTGGACAGAGGCTTTTTCTCCAGGGTGTTAAGAGTGAATTTCTCCACTCTTGCAGAAGAAGTTGAAGTTGGGGACCTCCTACTCAGATCCCTGGATGTTTTTTCCAAATGTCAGTAGGAGAGGCACCAGCCTACGCTACAGCCTACTC